AATATGACAACCATGAACTAGGTATGAAGCAACGGATAGGCAAACCGACCATTGCACCATTTCGTACGCGGTGCCCTAACAYAACGGATATCATTAGAAACAGTTCAACATAAATTTGTTAAATACTCGCAKTTTTAATAAATACTTAAACATAGTATACTCGTAAATGATAACATCAAGGGTAGTAATAATACTAATAATAATAAACATATTATTTTAAAATATTTTTTATTTTTTAATATTTTTTCAAGTTATTGTACTAGATGATAGTTTTTAATCTATTTTGATTAAATTACTAACTATTTGATTTATAACATTTTCATTACATAATGAATCTAACAGTCTATGATTTATATCGGTATTTAAATCTGATTTCGAAGAACCTGAAGTATGGTTATGTCTGTGATATTTTGTGTCAAGCTCTACTTTAGATAAATATTGTTCTGGATCATAGGTTTTATATTGATATTTTATAAACGAAGTTGAATCTGGTTCTTTTGAATCTGTTATATTTACTTCATTTTGTATCTAAATAGTACAAATAAATAAATACCAAAAAAATTATGAACCGGATTTTTTTATACTACCATTTTAATGCTTTGGTCGATAAAATTAATTGACTCAGCTATCATGGATGGTGAAAATATCTAAAAAATGAATAACATTTGATTTAAAATTGTAAATATTTAATCAGTAATTATTATTCATAGACTCATAGTCAATAAAATACTTATCAATTACTTCATTTGGATTTAGTAATCTTGATTGAATATTCTCAGACACGCCAGAACATAYACTGCTAGCCATAAAACGAACCACAGATTCATTTAACCGAGCCATGTTGTCATATTTAGGAGTCTGTATCCAAGTATTAATACTAATAGCAGTGGTYAAGTTTTCAACATAATGCCACCATTTATGTGGGACAATTAGTACATCGCCTGGAGATAAAACTACTGTCACACATCTACAAGCAACATCAATATCTGCAATGTAAAATATTATAAAGAACACATAATTTACAATATGTCGAATAATAACCCTACCTTTAATATTGTCTGGACATGAAAAGTTAATTTTGCTATAACAGCTCGACTCTTCATAAGGGATTCTAGATGGCTTCAGATATTTTCCCATTTCAGGTGGCATTAAAACCCAACGTTTTCTACCAAATAATTAAAGTTTAAAATCTATAGTCATATTTAACATTTAGCAGACATTTAATAATATATGTCAAACAAACTCGCTCTTCCCATCACAAGGTATTATATACCAWGAAAAATGAATTTTTTGAGAATGAATAACATGTAATTAGTAATTACATGGAAGTGAAACACTGTTTGACAGAATCATAATACCTAATATGTAAACAGCACCCTTGCCATTTCAAACAAGTCATTAAACTTTTTAATTTTGTTAAATAATAAAA